GGGCCAATTGAGTTAAGAATTTATCCTTGATAAGGATTTCTCCAGCCATACTGTCAGGATTCATAAAAGTGTACTTGGTAATTGTATCTTTTCATCATTATTAGAACATGGGAGAGAGGGCGTTCTTTTTCCTCTTGGTGGATTTGTCCCAGTTTTGCATAATTAATAGGCTTGACCCTTTTCCTTTTAGTCCTTTAATGTAATGGAATGAAAATGTGCCGCCTCTCCCCGAGGAGCCCCATGGTCCCAATGTGGCGCATTATAGGGATCACCTTGATTCCAGCAGGGGCATAAACCCTCAATTCTCCCTCTCCTCTTTGAGGTCCCCAGTGTACCTCATAGTAGGTATTTCCAGCCCAAATGGCAGAGCCCCAAACTCTGTCCCTTTCTAAACAAGGAAGTTACCCTTTCAACGGTGCTGATAGAGCCATCAGGATCATCTGTGAAGCTTCCGGGTCTCACTTAATTTCCTCCAACTCTGAATAAGTAAAGGGACATATTCTGGCTCACCCCATAAGTTGAAGTGAAGAGGCAGTATCCTCTCCCATGGCGTCATCCATACCGGTGGCCTAGCTCATGAATTTGGCCTGCTGGGTCTCAAGCCTCCTTCTCCTGGGATGTGCACTTTCTGAAGGAGGAGGAGGGAGGTAGTGCCCCTGAGAGTGAAGCGTCTAAAGAGCACTCAAAAGCCTCATCGGATGATCCCAGAAAATAAAGAAGAGCTGCACATAGGACACCTCACCTCGTTTTCTCTCTCTTATAAAGTCATTTTAACTGGGGAACACCTGGCTGGCCATTTTTCTGGGTCCTTCAGCAGGTGTTGTGTCCAGGCATCAGTATAACAAAAAATTAAGGCCTTTTTCTTTAAGGTTTGAGGATCTAAATCTTTCCAGTATTTGAGGAAACACTCAGGGGTGAACACTGTGAGATAGTAGAAGATCTGGTTCCCATCTATGGGAAATGGAGAAAAAGGTACACTAAAAAACCCTCCGCATTGGACGTCCCCATATGGGGTGTTTTTCTCTTATGGTCAGGGCATCCCCTTCCTTCCAGGGGGTGTGTTGCAGCCTAGGGTCCCCCTGTGGTGGGTAAATCTCACTATGTTCAGGGCTTAGCTGCATCTTATCTGCTATTGGATTAGAGCTGTGGCCTTGCCCGGCCAAGGCCTTGGACCTTTGTATCCCCTTTGATAGTCCTTGTAACATTGGTGATGCCAATCCTTAAATACATACAATTCCCAAAGGCCCTCTCTTTCTGGGGCAAAATGTCAGTTAAGGCCAGGTCCCCCGATGACCTTGGGGTCTTACAGGGTTGGGTGTGGGAAGATGAAAACAAAATTTCCAAAACCCAGCTGATACTCCTCAGTCCTCTTTTGATACTCAGACAAGAGACACTTCTAGGATTTAGAACTTCTAGTATTTGGAGAAAGAGGAGGGGGCCTTTTACATACTCATCTAGAGGTCCATTCTTTCTAAGGTCCCTGTATAAGTCAGTGGGCAGAGTGGTGGAATGACAGAAAAGATGGAAAGAAAAAGGAAGGAGGCGGTTGGACTTTAGCCACTGTTGGGAGAAGAAGCTGCGTGCCCAATCATCCTTCCCGGCGGCACACCGGAAGAAACAGGTCTGTGGGAAAGCCCAGCTTCAGGAAAAGACGTGTATCACCCTCTCAGATAGCTCAAAAATGGCCTGAAAGAAGTTTTGTTCTAGTGTGCATGAGCACAGGGGCCGCAGGGACGTGATCTGAGTCCTTTTTTTCACCCATCTTGCCCACGGGGTCCTACCCTCTAACCAAACCAAGGAGAATCCCCTCTCAGCATCCGGTCAGTTTGAGTCCTTGGTAAGTCCCTGACCTTGGTCTCAGTCTCTTAGCAGTAGGTGGGTCTGTATAAACCCCAAACCAGGCGCAGACAACAAGGTGGCAGACAGTGTCAGTCCTCTTGGCATGAAGTGGGAGTGGGTCAGGATACTCCCCTGACCAGGTGTGGACCACAAGATTGAAGACATTCTAGCCACCAGCTTTCTGTGGATCATCTTATAAGATATGAGGTACTAATTCCTGCCAGCTTTCTGTGGCCTACCAGAAAGCTGTAGGAAGTACTGAGTCCCAGAACACTGCCATTTAGCTGCATGGGGATGGGCTCCTCAGAGTGGGATTCCGTATCAAAAGGGCCCAGCCAAGAGATTTCTACTGTGCTAGATTGTGAAGGGAGAGAATGTCTCCAAAGCAAACCAAGAAGAGGACACTGCCCTCCTGCATTTACTTACATGTAAGCTGGGTTATACTTACCTTGTCAGGTGGCCTTTGTCAGTCCTAGGTGAACTGTCACATCCCTAAGTGGATCTGGAGCCACAAGCCCACTGTAGAATTTTTCTGGGTCTGTATCTCCCTCCAGCGTAGAAAGAGGAAGAGAAGTCAGAAGACAGTGCAAATACAAAGAAAGTTTTATTAGCAGAAGAGATATAAAGCTACGTTGAGGAGTGGGGGCCCTAGAGCTGGGTAACTACTGAGTGTGGGGTAGCAGTCTTGCTTTTATGGGGTGCTGATACTTCCCTCTGGGGTAGCCAAATCTGATTGGTTGGATTTTTTGTTGGTAGGGTGATACAGGAACTTGGGTATGAATTAGGATGGACAATGTTACAGAAACAATTGTAAGACTGCCTGTTGTTTACATTCTCTGAGCGCTGCAGAGATTGTTTTTCTCCTGAGTTCTAAAGGGCCCTTGTCTTCTTCTGTCATTACCAAAGCAGTCCCGTTTATCCCTAGGTAGCTGAGAATATTTTAAATCTGAATTATTACTGGAATAAATTGTGTCCAAGTGTTTACAGTGACATCTGTTGGAGAAACATTTTGCCACAGAGGAGAAACACAAATGCCTTCCTAGCTTCTCACCCTTTGACTTTTGAAAATATTATAGCCTTTAGCATTAGGGGTTGTGAGTTCTACTCCTGGCTGAAGGTAGCTTTCTTGTAAAAATATCCGTTAATGACATTTTGCTGTATTAATTTAAAAACAAAAATTCTTGAGAAAGTTGTGTCATTTACTCTGTTGGTTCCCATGTGGTAAACTAGTATTTTACTTTTTGTCAGTTTATTTGCTAGAGGTTGCTGTGTAGACAAAAGTTTTTTCCATAGTATGTGATAGGTTTCAAACACACAGAAATTTCAAACATCTTATGTAGTTTTATCCCCTTGTACTGTGTGACCTGTGAAATCTATTAGCACCAACTTTACCAGGCTTTTTGTTGTTGTTGTTGTTTTTTACTTTAATTTTAAAGAGAATTAAAAAAATAGAAATGGTACAGAATTTCAAACAAGATGATACAGAATTTCAAACAAGGAAATTAACAGTGGTTGTTATATTGCATAATGTTATCTTCAAAGTAATTGCCCAGATTACCAGATATAGGCATACAAAATTGATAAAAAAAAATTAATCATTAACTGTTCCTTTCAGTAAGCCAATAGAAATTAGTAGTAGAATTATCTTAGCTATCTCATATGTGTATATATATATAATTTCCCTTTCTTTCTTTCTTTCTTTCTTTTTCTTTCTTTCTTTCTTTCTTTCTTTCTTTCTTTCTTTCTTTCTTTCTTTCTTTCTTTCTTTCTTTCTTTCCTCTTTTCCCCCACCCCAGTTGTTCTTACCTTTTGAGCAGTTTTTTTCCCTCTCACAATATCTGTTGTATCTTTTGGATTTTATTTACGCTTTCAGGTTATTACACTAGGGAGACAATATGATGTTTACACATGTGCGTGATTTATTTCACTTATGAGTATGGTCTCTAGTTGCATCTATTTATCTATAAAAGCCTCAAGTTTATCTTTCTTTATAGCTGAGTAATACTCCACTGTACAAAAAACCACATCTTTTTTATCCATTCCTCAGTGGATGGGCATTTGGGTTGTTTCCAAGATTTAGCTCTTACAAATTGTGCTGCTATAAACATGGCTGCACATATATCGCTGTGGTATGATGTCTTCAGTCCCTCTGCAATGCCCAGAAGGGGAATAACTGAGCTGAATGGGACCTCTAATCCTAGTTTTTAGCAAAGGCAGGGTTGCAAAGGGTGAAGCTGAACACAAGTCTGTATTTCCTAGGCACACTGTTGCCTCTTGTCAACTTTGTGTCTCCAAAAAGAGTGTGAAGACCTGTAAAAATCCAAGTTGGTATCCACATTCAGTGATTACTGTGCATTCAGTCCTCTGTGTCAAACAACAAGACTCCTCTATTCTGCTTTGTACCTTTGACATGAGTGTGGCGTGATTCCTTGTATATGATCATTAAGGCTACAGTCCAACTCATGCCTTGGTACAGAATGTTCATGTGAATGGTAATGTTCCATGAAAGTTCAGTTTAGTTGCATTGGCCTGCTGGAAAGAACACCAGTATAAGAACTGATGTCTCACTCCAGGTCCTCCATAGGTGACTGCACCTATTCATGTCACCTCTCTGTGCTTCCCCTTCTAATAGCTGCTTGCTGTGCAAGTTTGTCCTTATGTGAATAAAATGAGACAGCTTAATTGAAAGGAAGAAAGGGCATAAACTACACAAAAATGGTAATAATAGGATAATGCTTCCCCTGTATCCATTAGTAGATACTAAACCATCCCCAAGATGTGAATGAAGTGGAGGTTGTTACTGAATACCTGGGTCCTTCCTAGGGAATTCTCGTCTTTGACTTCTGCACCTTGCCTTTAACCCCTTAGAATGTCCTTAAAGTCTGTAGCCATCTAGGTGCCCACTTTTTATGGTACATACAGAGTGAGTTTGTATCTTGGGAAACTGAGAAAACTGGGTCATATACCTACCCAGTTATATCCCACCATTACCAAGGCTGCTTCTTAAAAGCGGCCTGTGCCTTATTTATTTAGTCAAAATGTAGAGGTGTTTGTAAAAAGTATTGACCTCTGTGTGGGTCCAACTTATACATACTTTAAAAATGGATTGACTTAAGTGACAGGGTGACATTTGACTCCGCTTCACTACTCTAACATTGCAGAGACTAAAGGTATCAGATGAGCCTGTAGAAGCAAAAGAAGACTACACTAAGTTTAACACTAAAGATCTGAAGACTGACAAGGTACGTGGAACCAGGCGTAGTGGCATAATGTACGTCCCCAGTGAGCGTAGTGCTTGTGTACTTCTGGGAACAACTGCATACTTGATTGTGATTGCAGTTTTGGCCATGAGAAATAACTAACTGCGTTTCTGCAGCTTAATAATTCATCCAGAATTGTGCTGCTTGAAAATGAAAGTGTTAAACCATTATTATGGGTTTTACAAAATAAAAAAAAAAAAGAGAGAGACTGTGCTTAGCAAGAATGTAACCAGACTTCACCCTTCATGTAATTTTTGGCCAACCCTGCTGCCCAGAAGCTTCCATGAAATTATGATAGTAACCGAAATTATTGATAATTCCACAATTTAATCTTTACCCTGCAAATGTTACTTTCTTAACATTGCTTACTTAGTTTTTTCTTATACATGCATTATAAATAATATGCAGCTTTGAAAATTTGCATTATAATAATTATATATTTTTTGGTTCCACCTTTTTCTTTTCAGTTTTACAAAAATGTTTATGTTATTAAACGTTCTTTTAAATATTGAATATCATAGTTTCATGATGCCCCATTATGTGTGCTGTTCTTTTCATCATATAGAATATAATTTATTTAGTCAAGCCCCTACTTTTGGATACTTGTTACTTCTGATATTTTTTATTTTTGGTTTAAAGAAACTGATGGAATTTCTTATTTGTAGTTTGTACCTCTGATTATTTTATTAGACACAATTTAGAACTAACAGAGCTTAGAGAACGTGAACTCTCACTATTATATATATGTACATATGTATGTATTGTTTTCCAAAATTGCAGCAGAAATTTGTACTCCCAAACATTATTGCCAATGAGTTCGTGTCTTGCAGTCTTGATGACACTAAGTTTTATTTTATTCTTGAAACATTTTGCCTGTCAAATGAGGCACATTCTTCAACTGGAACAGTTTACCTTTCCAATTGCTTATTGCCCATTTAAATTTTTACACATTGTCATTTGTATCCTTTACCTATTTTTTTGTTGGGATAATAATGTTTTGTTGTTATTGTTGACTTATAAGAACATATTTTAAATTGAGAGTATTCACCTTTTTCATGAGACAGTGTACAAATTATTTTTTGGTATGTTTATGCTTTTTCATTTGCTATTTGTAGTAGTTTTTAATTTTTTATAAAGTTAAGTATAGAAATTGTTTTTCTTGGGCTGGGGATATAGCTCAGTGGTGCAGCGCCTTCCTGGCAAGTGCAGGGTCCTGAGTTTGATTCCCAGTACAAAAAAAGAAAAAAAAGAAAAAAAGAAATTGGTTTTCTTTATGATTTTCCCATTGCTTTTATGCATAGAAGGATCTTGCCTATCTCAGGATAAGTTAATTTCCACTTAGATTATAATAATATGTAGTCTTCCTAGAGTTTAATGGGTTTTTTTAAATAAATTTTATTCTTTTGTCTGTATGTAACTTAGTTGGGCACATGACATCAGAGGGTAATCTGATTTTAAGATTTGCCAAATAGCTAACTCTCTCAAGGCTCCATGTAAACAAGAACATTTTAAATTTTTCTGGGAGAAATATTTGACCTACCTGCAGTAGAAATGCTACTTCTTGGTGTATCACCTGGGTTTAGCACCAGTGAGAGATAAAGTTGGACCAGGGTGGCAGTTAAATGCATAGGACAGCTTGTCTGAAAGAGACTGCTTCTTTCTACCATCCAGTCAGAAATGAATCTCGTGAGTTACAAGCAGCAACATGAGAAGCAACATTGCAGGAGTTACATATTGTGCCCTTAAAATATACTTGGGCAGTGTACTTGCCCTACTGTTCCCAGGGCGACCGATGGTTTGGTTTGGTTCGGTTAGGTTCTTTCCTGATTCCCATCAGTTATATTTCTTCTGAAAAAATTGTGATCCACTAAAATAAAATGAGCTGCCATTTACCACCTTTTAGTACATTAAAGGACATTGAAAAATTCAGTGACCAAGAAAAGATAGAAATTCACAGAGCAGATTATGTGGAGTCAGCTTTTTGGAAAGTATTTCTTTGTTAAAGGAGAAATAACACAGCTATCCTTCTAGTCTAAGTCATCTTTTAAATATAATAGGGTTGTCCTTGGTTTCACATAGTGAATGAATAAAATCAGATGGTAAATTGGTGTGAATTATTCATCATGTAGTAATGCAAGGCTGTAATTCTCCCTCTGTCAGTTGCTGCCCGTGTCAGTTTCATTGTTTGTGTTATTACACTTAATGCACCCTCCAGAATTATTCCCCTAAAGTAAACCATGGGTTGTAACATTCTACTCCTGTCTTAACATTCTGTCTCTGAAGTCTGAATTCTGAATAGATCAGAACTTTTTTCACTCCTTTATGAAGCAGGGTAGTAGCAGACGTTTACCTCCCTTAAAGAACCCTGAGGCATGCACAGTCTTGTCTGATTTGCATACATGATTTACAAGTGATACATTCATAACAATTTTTCACTTATTTTCATTAGCAGAAAAATACCAAAATGACTGCAGCTCAGAAGGCTTTGGCTAAAGTTGACAAGACTGGAATGAAAAGTATTGATGCCTTTTTTGGTGTAAAAAATAAGAAAATTGAAAAGATTTGAAACTTTGAAAATAAAGTCTAATAAACAACAACGACAAAAAAGAACAGTTTGTTTTTTACATGCTCCATTTCCACCCTTCCTCTGTGTAGCTGTACTTCCTGACCCTTAATCACCTTCTTATTTGGGTGAAGTGGGGGGCAATTTTCAGATTCCCTTAAACATTGCTTTGGATTTGATTTTTGTGTTTCTGAACAAAATATGGGAAGGTAATTGTATAATCTCATGGCTGTGACTTTTGGAGTCAGACATAGTGAAAAGCAATCAAGTGAATAGAATTAACACATTACATCACAGTATCTTCAATAAACTGACCCTTGACATTTGCGTCTGCTGCCCATTATTTTACACAACTTTGCTTTACATTAGCTTTAACAACATGATTTTCGGTGTACTGAGAGAAACGGTAACAAAATGTCAGGTAAATTACTACTTTTTGAAAGACATTAGTTTTTGGTAAATCTTTTGTTTAATGATGTTATTCTATTTGTACTAGAAATAGAAAAATAAATATTGTAGTGCCCTGCTTTCACTGGGTTGGGTCTGTCAGGTCCTGGTGGCTGAAATAAGGAATGTAATCCACTTTTGTAGCCCATGGGGCATTATGCCAATTTTGTCATAAAAGCACATCATTGTGGGTATATAAGACCCACATTTATTCTTTAGAATATTGCTCAGCTATTGATTTTAATTTTATGAGTTTTAGTACATTAAACCATCAGTACTTAACAGGAAAAAATATCCAAAAAAAAGTATTGAATTTTTAAAATATTGTTTATAAAAAAAAAGCATCAAAATTTTCAATGTTGACTTTTTTGGTGTAGAAAATCTAAAAAATAACAGAAATAAGTTCGTCTGTGAACTACTATAAAAATACCAGTAGAGCTCTGCGAAAAATGTAATGTTTACTTCATTTATCACCTGAGTCTTCACACATGACAACAGCATGTTCCATACACATGTATCACTTAAACTGACAGCACATGTGTTTTGCTTTCCTGGCCTTTTTGTTGGACATACTTGACATCTCAGTGGTCTTGCTGTTTTGTCAGGAGGTTCTTATACAATATGTGGTTAACAGAAATACAAAATATCAATAAACTAAAGTATTAAATTCTTAATATATACTGTACATTTAGAACAAACATCAGCATTTTCACATCAGCTATATACTTGCTTACAAAATCTAAATGATAACCTTAGAAATAGAATCATATATGAACTACAATAAAAATAGCAATGGAACTCTACCACAGAAATAGCCTATGCTTCAGTTGTCACACCCCAAGGTAGTATTCACATGTGTTCCACGCACATGTCTCACTCTAACAGCACATGTGCTTAGCTTTCCTATGTGGCAGGCCACTCTTGTCACCTCTCTTCTGTTTTGTCAGCAGCTTCCTACTATTTTGTACAATGTGTACTTAGGAAAATAAGATAACAATAAAATAAAATAAAATATCAAATATATAGTGAGTGCTTAGACTAGACAGTAACATTTTCACATCAGCTGTTTACCTGTGTACAAAACCTGAAAGATAACATCAGAAATGAAAACCTGTGTGAACTTCAATGTAAATACAAACAGAAGTCTACCACAGAAATAATCTTTGCTTCAACTGTCACACCCAAGGCAGTTTTCACATGAAAACTTCATGTTCTATACACAGGTATCCATTCACTGATAGCGTGTGTGTTTTGTTTTCTTGTCCTTTCCTGTAGGGCACAGTTAACATCTTTTTAATTTTCCTGTTGTCCCAGTAGGCTTTGGTGGTGCTGTGTCTGCCTTTTCACCTGTCAGCTCACCCATGTGCTCCACACTATTTTTGCATAGTTCTCTGGACAAAAACATTTTGTTTTTCCTCTGCTGTAAATGATCTCTGATGAGTTCCAGTCCAAATCTAAGAAAAGTTCCCCATGATATTTTGCACTTGTTATTTTCTTGCTAGACTGTCAAACTATTTATGCCGCACATTTAGGATTGAGTAAAACACAACCACTGGTCAATGCTTTGCGTTTCAAGTGATATCATAATTGCTGCATAACTCATCAACACCATCACTCCACCTTTGGTTTTGTTGTAGAAATTACCATCTCAGGCTTCTGTTTTCTCAAGATTTCCCTATCAGTATTTCCGTAATGGTGCAATGTTGACTTCAGCAGTAGCAGTTTTTTTTTCTTTGCCATTTGCAAGACCAATGTTATATCTAAAATCCAAAACTAGTACTGTACAATTCTCTGTTTTGAAGTTGCAACTTTTTATTTGGAATTTCTGCTTTGTTCCTGTGTACAGTTCCAATGCTGGTCAATAGACAATGCAGTTGTGCTCTGTTAGCCAATGTAACATCCATCGGAATCTGGTAAACCAGTTGTCAAATGTCGCATTCTGATTAGTTTGGGAAATGGGAGCAACAAGTCT